ATAGTTTCGAGTAGCTTAAGTATGTGAGGCTTTTGAATGCACATGAGGACTGTGAATGACTCATCCGAGTTTACTTGGTGACCGGTGCTCATCAAAAGCCTCGTAATTGCGCTGGCAACTCTGTTTCTTTATTCACCGCGTGCGATCCTCGCATTACGAAGTTACACTGTCGGCCTATCTATGGACAGGCTTATATTTAATTATGTACAATGTAACTTCTAACTTGCTATTTTCAGTATCCACTTTACCGGTTCACAGCGTGCATAGCGAACGCAGTCGTCCCTAATCCTGAGGTCGTTTACGCAATGGGAAACCCTACCGATTTTGTCCAACGTTCCTCATCCCATAGGTTGTTTTTCTGTCAGATTTGATGGGAACGGTCACACTAACCCACATTCGTCATCGCCGATTTCACCGCGAGCTGCACATCGACCGGGTTGAGCGCGCGCTTGTGGACAAAGTCTTCACGCAGTGCTGGGCAGCTGTAGACGCCGGTGATTAGTGACCTCGATCCAAAGGCTGCTAATGTGGCTTAGCTTACGCTTCACGAAGCGAACATTTGCTCTGAGACTGAACTAGTCGTGATAAAGAGCTGTGTTCAGCAAAAAACGGCTGTAGGATTCAGCGATTACTATATTTGCCAACGAAGACGTGTGGTTTATCACACAGCTCCAGCAGCACTATTTTGCTGCACAGACTTACATTGTGTAAATCTGCTGGTCCATCACTGGTGACCAACCGGACATTCCTGCCTCACAGCCACGAGGGATGCGGTACGATCATGTGAACGCCCACGTAATGTGCCTGATTCCGCGTTTCATTTTGGCCACAGTAGCGCGTCTCTCAAGCAGTGTGATGGCACCGGTGCGGGTTAAGCGGTGGGGCGAGATAGACGCAGTGGAAATTTCATCGATTGAATCAAACAACGCCATGATAATGGATCTTCTGCCCGGTTCGTGTGATGTGAGTTACTGCTGTGAATTTAATTTTCGTCCGCGCCCTAATTCTTATATACCCATGTTAGAGAAACATGTTTTAGCGATAAAAGCGACACATTGCATTCTGTGAGTATCCATCTCGCGAGTGGTATTATGTTTCGTTTCGGAACAGTTCATTGTCTTATCCTTCCCGGAACTTGTATGCATCATTCAGCAGACCTGCAACGGCTTTCCCAGAACAAACACCGTTGCAGTTTAACATTCACCCCTGTGAGGTAGTTCGACTTTTGGTGCCATAGTGGCCACAAGCCCCCCCCCCTCTCCCCGTCTCTTCGATAAGTTTCTTACCTATGGACAACTTTATGAGGACCGCCTGAGATGCTCCACAGTGCCATCTACTGACGGATTTTATGGAGCGGTTCTCATTCACCAAATAGCGAGTTCTGACGAAATCTGATGAACTGACTAGTTGGAAATTCAAGTGCAATAAAAAATGTTTTATGAAATCAAATAGGCTCATTTTTCGACATTTATACTACCACTGCAGGTATGCTGGAAGCTGTGGTTAGCAGCACCCGATTTCAGATTTGCTTGTCACTGAGACCTCCATCAGGATAGGCACGGGACGCCTACGCCTACAGAGAGACCATTTGTGGCTTGAACTGCACCACCCACAGTTCCATTCACACACCCTATATCTAATGTGAACCCGAAGGAATAAGACTGGGAGGCAGGTGGATGGGAGCCAAGTTTCATCAACGGAGCTGGTCCACACTCCTTCAACCTGCACAACAGCAACATTCCAGTCAGTTGAACTGAAGAATCATGCGTACCAGACGTACACAAGGCGGTGGCTGGGCCGTAGTCCGCTCCACACTGGTTACATAGAACCACTCTTTGACCCTAGGACGGCCAAGAAGATTGTGCACCCGGTCTCCCTGACAAATATTAGCTGTCTCTTGGAACCATTAATCGAGATGGTGCTAGACAGGAAGACACCTTGCCAGCATTCAAATCAAGCGCAGCCACACCGGGAATATCAGTCAACAGCCAACACCTGAAATGCAAGAAAACACGCACATGCGCATATCAACTGCAGCGATGATGTAGTACGCGTGTCACATCGACCGCGTCATTGGCTTGTGTTAGTTAATGGAATCAGTAGCAGTGCACTTATCAAGCACTATGCTGCTCCTTACCTATTCAGCTTACTCATTGCCTTTTCGATGTCGACCTCTCGCGGTCACACTGTTGGCTTGTCGAACCGGCTTGTTTGCTACACTCACGACCACATGTGCTGCCGCTTTATGCAGTTGATGTCGATGAACTGGATTCCGTCGTCGCCTCTCGCTCCCTCGACCGACGTCTCCGCATGCAGTAGTGATTTTCTGCACCTGATAACCGCCCTCTTTATATGCTCTCGCCATTCGGGCCAATCAACTGCCTTTGATTTCCAGCATCTCAAACCAACATTAGTGCGTGATAAGCACGTCTTGATCATGTCCTGGTAACGTACGGCAACGACGCGCCGCTACGACCTACAGGCGTGATGAAGCTTTTGTGTCAAAAGCGAAACGTTGTCTATCTCATCACAAATACATTAACCGGTCGTCTACCAAGTTTTCTGAAATCATAATATACCTTGCATTATTTTGCAACATTTGTGTTATATTGCGGTACAGTGACTAACTTGTGATTTGATTGGTTGATTGACCGACGCTTATTGACAACTATTGTTTGAGCTTACCGTCGTTTTCGCCACACTATTGGATACGTACACGGATACCTACTACCTTGACCCAACAAAGAACGATCGTCCGCGGATGCGACAATACTCGTAGTTAAATGTTTCACGATGATAAATCGTTCATTTGACAGCATGTTTTGGGCTCCACAAAGAATACAAAGTGATGAATTAACCTATAACTAAACATTTAAGGTATGTTTAGCATTTTATGACTGAGAAGAGAGAATCGAAACCGCTGTGTACCTTGATGGCAAAATCCGGGAATATTTGCTCATATTTGGCTCGCATATCCACGATTCAGCTGGGCTCGTCGATATTTTTGTCTGTAGAACGGAGGTATATTGCCGTGGTTCCTCTGCTGATTAACTTCGATCAGAACGGTACGAAGTACTCGCAATCCCGGTTCTAAGACCACGATTTTGACCTGCGATTGTGATCAGTTTGATATGTGAATTAGGTTGTTGAAACGGTACCGTGCCACATCCTGGTTCTGTTTCATCTTCACACGGTTTAGTCTGACTGTTTTGCTGGTGGCTCATTGCTAGACACATCAATTACGTTTTTTTAATGTCCCCGATTCTCTATGCATCCTCGTTGGACAAGTGTTCCCGCACTTGACCGAGGCTGGAGTCATTGGCCACGGGACTAGAAAAATGCCCTCTAATTTGAGTCGCACACTGATATTATCATACAATCTGGATTATTCTACTAGCTGAGTGAGAATCTCGCGAAAGCTTTATCCAGGTAGCAGAGTTGAGAAAACTTGCAGCATCATGTACATTAGATTTTTGCGATCACATGACGGGCACTTGGTGGTGAGAACCTTCGTACTTATTGGCTTCTCTTGTTATTGCTCTTGAGCACCACAGACGGTGTCGCAATAATTTCGCCCCAGCGTCATTTTAGAAGCTTTGTGATTGATCACGTCCATGTAGTCGAAAAAGTGGCTCTGTCCATAGTTTTCTCATTTCTCAGCTGACCTACCTTAACCACCTAACACGCGGGATTATTCCGTCTATGGCGCGTCCAGACCTATGCCACACTCATTACCAACGTGTCGTGTGCCCACATTATAAAATGTTTTAACTCTATTAAACTATTCACAAGTGATACACCTGTCAGGATTCTAAGGTAACCATCCGCTTACAATTGCGCATTGTTTCGGGCGCCACTTGATTTCTTCTAATCCTCAGTTGCCTCATAAATGACCTTAACTACTCTGTTTGCTTTTCAGTGATATGACGCGCAGTTATACTCTCCTGTAATTACCACAATATATATTCCTTGATTTGCATTTAGATGGTTCATATCAAACTCCATTTGCTACCATCATTTGCAAAATCGCACCTTGTATTCTATTTCACCTGGATTCATGCACATACATTGTGGATCCGAAACCTGACCACTTCGTACTGAGGACATCAAACGATTGTCAACTTTTGATCGCCAGTGCTTGCGGAGCTTTGCGCAAATCTGCTGAGAACACCGAGTGAACAGTGCTGAGGTCCGCCAGTTGGTGTTTGACAGAAACCCGCTGGCGTCTCAAAATAATGGTTGCTGAGGTCTGACCACTAACGCGGGAGTGGTCATGTCCTCTTTCAACTGCCTTCCTCGGCGTGCTTTACACACCGCCACTTCACCAAGTTGGGCCAAAGCGCGAGGTGGACAGTTCATGACGTGGCATGAGGAAATTGTCTTAGACACTTCAACAGAGATTGGATCCGCGGTATGGTCCACATTGGTGGTTGGAAATCGTATCGGATATGGCGATTTCTGGTATCCAGCTGTTGGTATTCCTACTTGTTTACACATATATCAAATGAAGGAAATAAAGTACACCGGTGCTTGTTTCAATATTATCACCTTACCCACCTCACGTTTTGATGTTTCCATTCCCCCTGTACTCAGCCTTGTCTGTCTTCAGCCATGCGGCTGCTGTTCATTGCGGCTCGATAAGGTGTTACATATGAAACTACTGCGTTGATGTTCATGTAGATATTTTGCTTTCTGGTCCAATGAGTGCAACCACCAACTGGGAGAAACATAGCGAAAACACGATGGACTGCATATGTGTGCACACAATGTTACACACATTAATGTGTTTGTCCACTTGCATGAGTAGAAGTTCTTTGAATCCAACTACATCACTCTCTTTTCCGTCCCCACTGGGTTACGTTTTTCTGGCATATAAATTTTTATGACATCTGCACATGCGGTTGGTGGTTTTCGTTCTGCTTTCCAACGATCGACAGTTAATGTTAAACAATACTCCATCTTCAATTCTCACGAATTCTGTTCCATCCGTATGCCCACAGGTCATTAACCGGCTGATCAAACGAAGACAGGAGTCACTGGGCAGATCATTCCCAGGCTTGCCAGCCAAATTATTCCGCAATGGCCCATTGCAACTGAACCAGATACCTGGGCTTATTGAGGCTGGGTGTACCTTCGCAAACTGGCCAAAGACGTTGAGAACACTTTCCTCTTCTAAAATGACGCGTATTGCGAGTGACAGCAAAACCTCCGGTACTGATATAATACAAGAACCCGCAGAAATATCTTCCAGAGATGCCACAGACAGCTGTCCGAAAGGGATCACCACAACGGCAGCAGCTACTGAGTCAATAGGTCCTATAAGAAAACTACGTCGACGGTCTATTCAATCAGTCGACAATTTCACCTCTGTTAACGTAGGTGGTAAACGACATTCCAACTATCCTCGACGCAGTTCTGCTTCGTGTAGATTGTAAGTTCCCTCTAGACTCTTAACTTTTGCTATTGTTGATGCTATGCGATTTACCGTTCTTGAATTGAAAAGGAGCGCCATCACCCTATCCCTCAACTAACCCGGTAATACGAGTTTCAACTCAAACCAATTTGTTCACATTAGCAAAGGAGGCGGCTACAATAAACCCACCTTTGCATAGGTACATTTTTAGTTAGTATATAGGTGACCATCTCGACTTGAAGCGATCCATGGACGCATTCAGACTGGAACTGTCATCGCAGGTGGTATTTAACGGCCCTTGCTGTTTGGTTTTGCCTTTTTAGCTACCCCTATTTGGATCCTGTCCGACATAAATTGCCGTTACATCTAGCGAGGGGGAGGGTTGGCAGTCATGTTTATCACGCGACAACGAGTCACAGAACGATGCGCATGTGCACCGACGAGGTCCATGCGTTTAATCTCACTGTCCGTTGTGATCTACCAACCCTAGAATCACACCTCGGTTCCTAGTCGTTACTTTATCCCACTTCGTATACAATGTGCACACACGTAAAAGTTTATTTTTAAATTGTGTGTACAAATGTACACAATCCCATTCGCATAAATTAAAACCAAGGAAATTGAGTACATCACTATCAACACAATGATATTTTGGATCAGAGTTCTTGCCTGTGTGCGAGTTGCATCTGTTTCTGAACTGTTATCACATTCGCCTTTTGATGAGTTGCGGTCTATGCACTTCAGTCTATTGGTTGTATCAATCGTCGGTCGTCGAAAAAGTCGAATTAACGAAAATCAGGATGTATTGGTCATATATAGTCACGCTCCGTGAACCGTTTGATGGGAACTGCATAAAATGCTCTCTTATCATGATAACCTGCCTCGGCTGGAAGAGTCGCTGGTTCTAGTCTCGTACGGTGCAGACAGTAGAATGCACATTGCTGGCAATTTTCGAATGTACGAAGCGAACATCCAACACTTTCCAGATGTGTGGTGTTTGTTTGGTTGAGTATGTCAGCATCCTCCTCTATACAACACCATCGGAATATGGTCAAAAACGTATAAGAAATTAGAAACGGTGACCTGTCAAAACCCTAATTTTTTCACCTTCTCACGTAGTATCGTAAAAACACGCATAACTCAGTTATCTGGAAATAAATATTTTGAGATGCCATTGTTGCTGTGTGATCGTTCTCTGTGTCTAACAATGCGGAAATGTAAACCCAGCAATGTCTCTAGTTGCTTCCACTATGTACTCCGTCAGACGTTGATCGCTCCCCACTCGAATCACATGGGGTGGAGAATGTGTGTTTCAGATCCGGGATCACAAGCCTATGCTGATGTCCGTGTTCGCAGCAGTGTTCGTAAGTGGAGCAGCAGCCTCGGCATGGTGAAGTCACGACAGACTGTCACCACGTTGAGAAATCTAAAGCGTTAAGTGACAGTGTGTCCCCATAGCTTTCTAGAAAAATAATTGTTATTGTTTTCATGCAAATAAGATGATGCACAGCTATCTGCCTACTGACACAAACATCCAGTATGCATTTTCCCTAACAAGATTCACATTGTTCGATGTTCGGAAATTTTCTAATATCCTACTACACACATCTATCCTTTGTTCAAGTGCCACTTCGGTTCCAAGTGAGGCGAAAGCAGAAAGAGCTGTTTCTCATGAAGTTAATCAATTGGCCAACCAGCTCCGACCAGTCCTAATAGCTCTGCGGAATCATGCATTGGCAGCCCCGTTCCAGCATCCGGTTACCACAGCAGAAGCGCCCGATTATTACGATGTTATTTTATTCCCAATCGGTAAGTTCATGTGCACAGACAAAAATGATTAGGTTCATCTGTCCGAAAGGGGGAAACACGCAGCATTTCTTTTCAACACAATTCGAATTAATGTTGCTGGGTGTGATGACGAGGCCACGAAATATATACAATAAGCACCGTTGTTTTCAACAGTGAACAACTACACGTGCCCACCATCGTCTAGTGCAAAATAGAGGTAGGTGCTTTACTGCGCTTTTCCTCCAAGCGCCACCTCCTGTCCTGTCGCGCGCGCTGTCAGAACTGGGCCGTGTTGCTTTAGATCCATAAAACATTACGCACTACTTCTCCATAAGTAGCAATCATACTAATGGACTGCATAATATCCAGTCCATTCGGTGTTAGACCGGACAAAATCGTTTTTTTCGCGCTCACGTTTTCTCCCAAAGAACTTGGCATGTATCTAACCATCCACGTATCGAAATAAGTCTAGTGGTTCGGAGGTTTCTAATTTTCCATCCTATAATCATTATTGTCCTTGTTTGGACCCTCTAAGATCCAAACATCTTGATTTTCCGGCATACGTCTCATCTCTCATACACCGAGCAATGCAGGATCATCGCTGAGATTTGAAGTACCAGGATATCATGATAAATAAGTCATTGTCCAACTTAAGTCATATATCACAACCGGAACCCTGCAAGAATAGCTGGCTGTTTCACAAGAGGAGTTTCTCTCCTCATTCTAAAGCTCGCATTCTATGCAAAATTCTATAAATTTACTATCTGTTGAAATATTGTTATCTACTCAGGCTTTTCACCAACGAGATTTCTCCTTTAATGACCATCCGCCTTACTTGGTTGTATCAGTGTACTTTGTTCCGGAGCGTGCCTATATGGCCCCTAACCATACTTGACCCCTGAGTTTGGAGCTCAGACCTTTCAGCTCTCAAGTCCACCAAGTGGAATCACTACGAGATATCTTGTGCACAACCCTAAGCTCCACTTTTCTACACTTGAGGTCTGTTTTTTTCACTTTTCTACTACACTGTGCATATTGTTAGGTGACTAGTTTGCCCAGCGACATCAGAGCCGTTATAATGCAACATGTTCTCTCCAGCTTCAGTAAGAGATGGAATGAATGCACTTCTCTCCCTTTCCCTCTAACTTCTTTAGATCTTGGTACCATTTGCGATCGCCTCAAATCACGGTATTACACAACCAAAGCCCTGTTCATTGCTGACGTGATGCGGATGTTTCACAACTGCCGTACTTACAATCAACCTGAATCCCATCTGTTTCGCACGGCAAACACATTGGAACGGTTTTTTATCAGTCGAATGAAAGATGCCGATTTATGGCCATGAAAACTTGTGTTCCCCACTTTGCGTCCCTAATACCGATCGAACTTTCTCCTACGCTTTCGTTCATGTTTTTTGCTTGCAAGTGATTCAGATGCATTGCAGCTGCCAGCTTATTCAGGGGGTCACGCTGATATACTCGCCAAACAGTGCAACTTAGCGGTAGCAACCATCGTAAAAGTCTATCCTTAGTGTTCGCGTACTGTGTGCAACTCACGCACTAGTTATATTTGATTTCCGTTTGAAAAGAATAACTCTGTGCCTCTCGTTACAATATGGCAGTCAGCCATGAGACCAGTTTCCACATATTCAAAGATATCGCCAATTTCTGCTCAGAAGGCCACTAGTAAGTGAGAAGTATGTGGGATACTATCAATTGCTGGTTACTAAGATATACACTGATTCATTTGCTACTTGAGCTTGTAGACTCCTTTATTGCCAGGAAAACGATGCGGTGCCCCGATCAGTCAATGCTGCCCAAATAGCCACCGGGACTTATGGAAAAAGGATAGAAACTACGGTAACCAGCCAATTCGCAGAGTAACCGTCCGTACGCAGCGGTGAGAATCGGTCATAAACGTGGGAATATAATCATCATAAACAGTGGTACCTCAGCCATTTGAACTGATGCTTCGCTGTCGTACAACCACGGTGACCTACGGAACGGAAAACAATAAGAGGGAGAGAAAGGGGACCTGGCGTGAAACATTAGTGCCGTAAACAAGCACTCAAAGTCAAGGCACTTATACCTTATCAACAACACACTATCACAAACAGCTAGATATGGTGCAAAGATGAGGCATCAAGTAGCCAGTTTTCTTGCGACTTTCACTGCTGCGTTATAATCAGCCATTACCCCGTACAGAACTCGGCACCAAACGCACTCTAAACAGGCGGTCCGACTGGTAGACGACAGTAGACGTACAATTGGTACTGACTGCGAGGCATGTCCCTTACTCTCAAGAAAACCACAAGGAAGGTGAGACGGACCGACGGCACCGAGTTTGGTTGTCAGTTACTTCATTTCCCGCTACCAGGTTAATTTTTCCCACAACGGGCCTTGCGCCACCCTACGTCTGGCAAATAAAACAAGGCCCTCCGTAAGCTGTGACCGGGCAAACGTAATACGTGACCAAATCGTAAGCAGCCTATCCAGTGTTGTTGTTCTAAGAAACTAGCATGGTTTTCACTTCCTAGTACTCGCTTACGCACATCATCGTTGCGCACACGCTGATGCCATCCGATACCAGCAACGCTTCGCAGACAACGATGATCAAAACTTGTAGGTGCCGCAGGTCCCCAGCTCAGAGGAAATTATAGAAGGAATGTTAGTAATGGGAGTCGGGACGGGAGTAAGAAGAACAGGTGGAAAAGAAAGGAAGCGCCAGCAGTAGCATACTTTCGCTTATCCGCCTTGCTTTATGCAGCAGATAAGACGACCCTTGTTTATCTGCGAGACGCCCGATGCGGAGTGTCTTTGAAGTATGACGAAAGAATCATGGTTGTATATGGGCTGAGATATTGCCAGGACGCCCGACCTAGACAGGAGGACGATTAGGAACCTCAACCAAAGTGTTTGCCTCAAAAGCCTTTCCGCAAGGCAGTGGATGTGGCACCGATTCGATTTCACAGTTGACGCCATCCCATTTCAAGCCTCCGACCTGGAGGACGAGGAGAATAAGTTCGTCTGACCTCTAACTTGGTAAGAGTAGCTCTCAAGGGTCCCACACTATGGCACAATAGGTCGATTAGGTACGTAAACTGCCACACCACGTTAAGGTCCAGTTTCGTACCGACTAAACTTGGGAACACTGCTACTAATCTGATCCATCCCACGAAGAAACAGCAACCATTGATCCTACCAATGGACGAGACCTGCGATGATTTTACCACGTAAGGATGTGTCGTGTTCATGTCAAATGGACATTTGATCGAAGGAGAGCTACGCCACTGCTCAAGTTTTTCCTGAAGACTATAATCGCCTACATTTATACTGTGTTACTTTCGCCTTCAGAAAACGCGCATGTGCTGAACTTGCGTTATAGTATGCTTGTTAAACAGTTATGACCCGAGCACCGACTTGTCCTAAGCCTAGTCGTCCTTCCCATTTCGGGGCGGTAATCACGCCCCTGAAAGTGAGGTAAGCAAATAACAGTGAGACTGCCAGTCTAAATTTACCCGTTAATCCCTAACTGATAAAGTCTGGCTGGCAAAAAGCACGCTATCGAACAGAAAATTGACGAACCGCAGCGGCAAACTAAAAACTTACACTTTGGCCTGGTCGCGCATGCGAACGCACCATTGAAAAAGTGTAAGTCCACATGAGTTAATGCAAGTAGGCACGATGGTGCCGGCACGCTGCTATATCGAGATAACTTTTGTATGCATGTATATATTGGCAACAGTCTAACGAATAGACATAGAGCCAAACGAAACCATGGAAATCATAGGAAGAATACAGGTCTAATCACCCCATTGTCATCAAGGCGCATTAGCTGAAGGTGAGCAACACGCTTCAGCTATTGTGCCGTAAGAAGAACGGAACTGTTTTTGTTATTTTTTCACACGCCATTTTTCATTCTGTATTGACTCGATAAAAGTGAAGCCAAACTGTCTAGGGTAATCGCGCACGAACTCAAATGCAACATGCATCCGGATCTCTCGTATCGAGTTAAAAGAGCGCGAGGTAGAAAACGAAGGGTAGAACTGCGTCTTTCAGTCCACTGTACTGGGACAGTCCGAAGTTGTGGATAAATTATATGACAAGCACCGTTTTCATGTGAGGTCCGGTTTCTTCAAACTAGTGTAATCCGGGCACCGAAGTAGGGTAACCCGGTTGCAATGACTCGCGTCGCAACGAGGAAAATGAGGTAAAACGCAAAAATGGTAAGGAGTCTAAAGAAAAGGCGAATAAAATCAACCGGATTCGAAAGCTGACGGCTAGCTATGGGTGGACGACTGCATCATGTCGGATGCAGATGTCAAGGTCTCCAATAAAAGAGACGAAAGCACCGTCACTATGCTGCCTCATCCAATAAGGTGCAGCAACCGCAAATTATGCGCACTGGTGTAGCAATCAAGGCATTTAAGGAATTGGAGACTTTTCCGGTTCGGTCACGTGGCTAGTAGAGTTGGTACAGCTAGCGAAATAAGTGGGCCAATCAATCGCTTTGGCGACAGCGGGAACTCGTATCCAGAGGGCTCATTCCTGCAACGATATGTTGAAATGTGCAGTGCTTGGACGTAGTCAAGTCCGATCTCCAGTTTACGGCACGAAGTGGCGGTGGGTTTAAACTATTTTCGCCCAACAAACAAATGATGAGAGATAGCTTTATAGCGCACATTTTATTACTCCCATCTAAAACAATGAGCACGCGATGGACTGTTAGGTGTAATGGCGAAACACGTACAAAAAATGTAGATCAAGTGCGGGAGCGACTTGAACTAGAACTCGAAGATGAGCTCGATCCAGAGCGGGAGCTAGAGGTAGAAGAGTTGGACGAGTCGGAATCAGACGAAGATGAGGATGATGACCGCGATGTAACCCCGCGGCCACGGCGAGCCGCTGCTGTCTTGCTATCCACAGCAGCTCGTGCGGCAGCCTGAGGCTTGTTCATTGGACTACGTGAACGCGCACGCCGGCCACCTGAAGGCTCAGTCCTTGAAGCCGGAGGGCCTGAGGGGAATGAATCGATTTCGCCGATTTAGTGAAAAATAAAAAGCGGTACAAAAAGCATCTAAGCTGTGAAAGCGAGCTCTGTGGTAAAACTGACAGGTATCATTAAGCTGCGATAAGCAACGTTGACATCTAATGGTCATTGAGGTGGGTGAGAACACAAATTTTCCAGTGCAGTAAACAGTAGTAAAGTTGTAAAATTCTTAGCTAAGGTGCTGATACTCAGTATTTTTCAAGTTAGTGTCAGTTTCACAGTACAAGAAACCTGATAAGACCGTCCATTCGGTCTTGCTACATAAATGGGGTATCAAGCCATAGGAGCGGTCGGTCATTCACATGGACCGCAAGTATCTTCTGGATACATAGCAAAGTAATTTCGCGCGGGTGTTCAAAATGCGCTTGGACATCCTTGTAGAGTGGATTTCGATCAGGGAAAACGGGGGAAGATCTCGAATGTTAAATGACAATAGTAGATGTTGCGTATGACGGGTGCAAACGCATACGTACTACTACAAACAACTTACTAGGACTCGCAAGTGTGTATCATGTCGGCTAACAGAGAAGGCGAAAACCGCAATAAAGCCGTCTTTACCGTGGGTTCATCATCTGCATAGTACAAGCGCCCCTAACCCAGTTTTTCGTAGTATCTGGATGTCGATTCGTACCAAATTGAAAATCTGACTAGGCTCGAGGACTAAGTCTAATGGAATAAAAAATAGCGGACAACTTACTGGGTCTTCGGTAACGCGAGCCAACCATAGGTGATCGTTGTCGCTCTTGGTGGAGATTGGAACGGCTAGCAAACGGACTGCCGCTACTTCCACGCCTGGCTCGGCGTGGCCTACTTCCGCGAGATCGATCACGTTCACGAGGTCGATCGCGACCACGCTGCCGCTCCCTTTCGCGTTCTCTCTGACGATCGCGTTCCCGATCACGTTCACGGGCATCCCGACGTCGATCCAATTCTTCATTGGGGCGCGTGCGTTCGTGCCGGCGTTCTGTGGATTCGTCCAAACGCCTCTCTTCTTTGTTACTCTGAGTTGGTGCACTAATGCTCTCCGGTGCCCGTTTAGATTCGTCCTTTTCTCTATCACTAGCAAAGCAACAATTACAAAAAAACTTAGCAATGGGAAATAGTTGGAATGTGCTCATCAAAGACAGTCGAAACAAATGGGAAATATCTGATTATTGGTTAAATGTTAATGTCGCTAAAGTCCGAGTACACAAGTGCTGCAGCAGTGGTGAACTTGTTCAGGGATGGATTAGCAAACAGGCTTTCATAGCCAACCATGCTTGAAAGTAGACGCGCAGTAACAGCACTTTCACATAGGAATTAAAACGACGGTCGATCACTAGCGGTGGACCTCGATGGATGTCGTCGCCACCAGAAAGACATTCTGGTCTTCCAAGGACAGTTACAGCGCATCGATCAGAATCAGAGCACTGAGATGTTGATACGTACTACATCTCCATTCGTTATCCTGATGAAATCTAGTGAAATTGAAATGAAAACTAGGGGAATCGTAAAGTTGAGTCTGTCAATTGAACACAGACTGATTGGTTGCAACAAATAAATGACATTCGTGCGCAGTACTCTTGCCGAATCAGCACCTGCTCGGGTTGTATTCTTAAGAATCGGACGAATTTTCAATAGGACACGTGCGTAATGGGGTGCGAGCGTCGTAACATGATCAGCGCTTGATAAAACATTGCAGCGTCCGTCATCGAAGGTTGACTGACAGACCCTGATTTACTCAGGGATGCTCCCACGTGACTGTGACCGAAGTAGAAAATATCCCAGTACCCTCTACTATATTGGCCACGTTGTTGAATCACAATGGTCATTCCACGGAATCGCATGTCCCATTTTCGACTCATAAACCGATTTCTTAATTTACAATTGCAGACTACGGAGTCACAAAGTGTAGTAACTCGCTTGCGACCGACCAATCATGGCGATTTTTCGCTGATCATAGGAGCGTGCTGAAGGAGCACGGTCCTGTAATTATGCCACATTTTTGGGGTTTATGGCCGATAGTGCCTGACTTGAAACAACCACGTCGTGTATGAATGCGTCAGTCGGTTACAAGCCATCAGTACAAATCAAGCGATCGGAACAGCTGGCTCTGTGATTGCATCTACAGCGTAGTTACGAAAAGTGAAAATGAAATCTGTGTACTACAATATTTTGATATAGTCACAGGAAAACCGTAGACTTTAGAGCACAATGTGTATACTTCAATGCCCGATTCTTTTCTGACTAGCAATAAGCGAGATGACCAGGATTGGTTCAAATAAGTACTGTTCAGTATACAGCATCATAAATAAGGAGAAACCCACGTTCATCCCGCTGTGTGGATCATCATTCGGACTACACCTTTTCTCAGCCAACTGTAACCAAAGCGCTTGCAAGTTCTTCCTTTGGAAAATCATGTTCCTTCAGAGATCTCTCAAGACGATCCTTAACGCGATTAAATTGCATCAAACGGGCGCAAACGCTCTTTAAATGTGCGCACTGTTCGTTGAGTGACCAATCCCAAATCATCAGATAGACACACAAATTGGGATCCTATTCATCATTCATTTTGGCTGAGGGTGAGAAACGCACCTCACCTAATGTGCCGCAATACAAAAAATAAGAGGCTAGAAAATTACACTACAAAAAATATGACGTTATATATTAATTATATTACGTGTTTCACATGAGGTCTGGATTGGAGGGGGAACCTAAGGGGAGGAGGATGGACAAAGAAACTCATAACATAAACGCCATTGGGGCCAGCTCTTCGCCATAGCAGCAAGTGTGTCCAACCGAACGTGTTCACCGTCCTTAGAACCCCAGCCAGGCAGTCGGGATGCACCAACCGACACCAGTTTCGAAGGGAGGACTTTTATTCCTCTCGACCACGTCATCGCTTGGCCTCCCCTCCTCTTCCAACCGCACCCCCGGTGCGCAAAGAATGCACGTCGCGGGAGTCGGTGTGCTGGCATGCGCAACATGTGGCCCAACCATCGGAGCCCGGTGCGTGATATGATGGTGCTGAGCGGTTCACTCGCTCTTCCTGCACCAAATACGCGACGCCGAACACGCTCATTGCTCACGTGGTGCTCCCACCAGACATGAGCTAAGCTGCGAAGGCAGCGATGACCGTATGTGACGAGCCTGTTTATGTCTGTCGACCTGATGGACCAGATTTCACAACCATATAGGAGAGTTGAACGGACGGCAACGGTATAAACTCTACCCTTCAAAGCGAGAGTAATGTCGCGTCTGCACCACAGGTGGCGGAGATTGGCAAAGGCACCTCGAGCTTTTGCTATACGGTTCGCAACCTCATCGATCCCACGGGCGCTAATATAGCTGCCCAGATACTTGAATTCCTGAACAACTTCTAGCTGATCACCACAAAGCCTTTGCGAATGGGTGGGTCCCTGCCAATCTTGGAGAAGTAAAACATAACCCAGAACGATAGACATCCAGTGCTAATTGGTCCAGTCCCGATGGGCATGTTTGGGAGCTACCACATATGAGGGCAATGTCGTTCGCATACCCCAAGTCAAGAAGTCGCTCATCAGGAAGTAGCTCCATACCTTCTCCAGGTCATGTCCATGTTGTTTCCATGATTTCGTCAACTGCGAAGTTAAGTAGGGAAGGTGACAACGGGCAACCTTGTCTCACACCGCTGCTGATACTGAAGGGTGGCGACAGTTTGCTCTACATTCTCACTTTGCCCGAACTTTGATAATGTTTACGTATTTATCAGGCAAACCTTTCCTCAGCAGACAGTCCCAAAGGGCACATCGATCGACTGAGTCGAAGGCATCATTTATGTCAAGAAACACAACGGTGGGTCGCTAATAAGCATGGCGGTGCTCCAACAATTGACGCAAGGTGAAGATGTGGTCGATGCAGCCCCGACCTGGACGAAACCCGGCTTCCTCTTCACGAATCTAGCTTTCACGACTGTCAGACAGTCTGTGGAGGCAAGCAATTTAGAGGCAATTGAGATCATGCTGACACCTCTATGATTACCGCATTCCGAACGGGAGCCTTCCTTGGAAGGTGGGACAATTACGGAGTGGCTCCAGTGTTCATAAAAATAAGCAAAACATGAAGCTTTAAGCGAACAATTGTTTTCGATTAATTCTTCGTCAGGCTCATACATTAATATACATTAAGGTAAGGCCTGTTGTAACCGTCAGTATAACAAAGAAACAATTGATCAGAAAATTCAACTTGTGATCATGATAGCAGTCATCTGATGACATGACTGAAGTCAGGTGGAGTTGCGGAGTACCATCACTTCCTTCCCGTCTGATAGTCGGCCACGGAAGTTGTAGTGTTTGTATCATCTTCTGGATACACAAGTCCGGGTTTGTCAGGCGTATGCATACTGCCTCAGCGGTGGCAAGTAGGCTTGCTCTTACACGATGGTTATGCCTTGGTGGTATTCTGTGGAGAATCTGAAAGGATGTTTGTTTGTCTATCTGGTGGCCTGTGTTGATTAGATGGTTCGTAATCGCGTTGTAGTTTGTTCTATTCTCGCGATTGTAGACACAACCTGGGAGGTGTTCCTTAATTCTCTTACCTAAATGCCTGGTCGTCCGTCCAATGTACTTGGCCCCGCACGGGCAGGTGAACCGGTAGATTAACATTGATTAGAGATGATCAGGGACTGGGTCTTTGCATCTCGGAATTAGTAAAGGTCTGCTCGTGAAAACCACATTCAGATGAGACGCATTAAAGGTTTTTTTTGCAGCTTTGCTGTAGTCGACGCGTGCATGTCTCAGCCGCACTATTTTCTATGAATGGAAGAGTCAGGTAAAGCTGTTTCCTTTCAACGGTTTGTTTTGATAATTTTGGTATGCATCGCCTCATATGGGTCTCGATAAATCGCTCCGGATATCCATTTTCGAGAAGCGTTTCTTTGATTCGTACGAGTTCGGCTTTTATGGTGTCTTTCCTGCAGATTTTGTATGCCCGATCGTTTAGTGTTCTTACCATCGTTCTTTTTTGACTGAGTGGGGCGAAATTATGAAAGTTCATGTATTGTCCCGTTCAATATGGTTTCCCGTATAACCTTAATTAGATTGATCCATCGGTTCTTCTGATAAGACTTGCGTCCAAAAATTCATTTGGTTGTTTTCTTCCTCAGCTGTAAATGCGGCATCGGGGTGCGCATTGTTGAAACAGTCGATTATATCCTGGGGTATGATGGTCCGATCACTTATACAAAATATATCATCCACATAACGCCGATAGAATTTCAGACCCGATTTGACTTATTTTAATGGACCACTTTCTAGCATTCCCATAAAAATATCCGCTAACAATGAACCAAGCAGAGATCCCATTGCAGCGCCATCAAGCTGTCTATAAAACTCGCTATTGAATTGAGATTGGACGTTGTACGTACATCTGAGTATCAGTTGTTTCAATTGGTTGCTTCGCATACCGACGTTTATGCTAGGCTGGTCAATGTACGAGCACAGGTAGTTAACTGTTTCTGTCAGAGGCACGTTGGTAAACAATGAAACAACGTCTAAGGAAAACATCCGATGCTCTTGGACATTCATATCTCGAATTCCATTGACGAACTGGAATGTATCTGCCAGTCTATGAGGAGCAATCATTTGCTTGATGGAATTCAGCATTTTTGTCAGCTATTGCGCAATGTTGTGATACGGCGAATTCCTCATATTTAGTATGGGTCTCGATGGTGTGTCAGGTTTATGTATTTTTGAGAGACAATACGGGCGAGGATTAGTGGAGCCTACGGTACGAAGTCGGTCCTACGTTTCTTTGGTGATGGCGCGGTCGCTCACTAGTGAGTTCAAACATCTAACCAATTGATTTTCTACGCATTCTGTTTTACCTTTCTGTTGTTCATATTTCACGAAACGTGAAGTATCCGAGAGTATCATTTTCATTTTCTTTATGTAATCAGCACGATCCATCAGCACAGTCCCAAATCCTTTGTCTGGTTTGGTTATGATGAGATCCTCGTTTTTCTGAAGTTTTCTCAGGGCAACAATGTGTGCTTTTGTCAGTAGTCGACGGTGTTCTATTGGTTGTCTTCGGGATTGAAAAGA